ATATTTCTTGGGTAGGTACCTAGGAGTGAAATTGTTCATTCACTTGGTAATTCTATAGTTAACATTTTGAGAAACTGACAAGCTATTATCTTTTTAAGTTACCAAAATTTTTTTAAAAAGTAAACCCTATGATCCTGAAATCCCAATTTTAGTACAGGCACTTCCCCAGGTTACAAATGTCTGGCTTACTTACAATTCCCATTCATACTTGCCGTTTAATGTTTATAGAAATTTGTCCTGATCTTGAAACAGCTAAACCCTCCCCAAACCACAACAAATTTTTCATAACAATCACCTTTCCCTTGCTGCATGTATAGCTTTTTAAAAACTCACTGAAAAGGCTCGCTTTTTTTGCACTAACCCACTCACCCACAGACATCAAGTCAATTCCAACTCATAGGATAGAGCAGAACACTCCTTAAGGTTTCAGAAACTAAAATTTTTTACGGGAGCAGACGGGTGCACTTTCTCCTACAGAGTGGACTGGTGGGTTTGAAGAACTGTCTATCTGGGGTTAGCAGCCCAATGCTTAACCCAAAGTACCACCAGGTTCCTTTTCTTGAAATTAAGTAAAATTAAGATTTCTGGTGGCGCTGTAAAATAAGCATTAGACTGCTACTAACTGAGAGGTCAGTAGATCAAACCCACCAGCTGCTCCGGATAGAAGAGGCTTTCTGCTCCCATAAATATTTACAACCTTGGAAACTCACAAAGGTTCACTAGGAGTTACAACAGACTCTATGGCAACGGGTTTGGGCGTTTTAAAGTAAAGCTACACAAGAACCACATGCAACTGTTGCAACTGACCCTCAAATCGTTCACGGCACAGTTAGGAATGGATTTCATTTGTATTCTGGGAACCACCTATCTCTTCTACTGAAATAGAGGTTTATAACGATCTGTTCATTACAGCATTACTTATAACTGCAAAAAATTCTAATTGTTGATCAAAAAGGGGGAGCTTAAATCATAGCACATTTACAGAATGGACACCTGGTGTGGCGCTGTAGGCTAATGTGCTGGACTGCAAGGTCGGTTTGAACCACAAGGTTGGCGGTTCAAGTTCACCAGCCACTCCTTGGAAACTGCATGAGTTGCTATGGGTCAGTGGTCAGTATCGACTCAATGGCACTTATCAACAGCAACATTTACCCTTAGTTTACATATTACTTCATCCTGATACCCAGGGGTTAACAGACTCTCATATAGAACTCTGTATGCAGCCTCCACAGAATTTACCACCTTGTGTTGTTACAATAACTGCCTGTTTACTGGGATACTGGGTCAAAATAATATTCTTGAAGGATCTGTACACTAAGAGGAAAAATGAATAAGCTTAGTGGAGGAAAACAAAGAAGAAATACAGAAGGAAAAAAATTTACAGACAGTGGGAAAACATGCGCAAATATCAGAAGACAAAGACTGAAAAGGTACTGAAAACCTTCAGTATTGACAGTATTAAACATAGTAAGGGTGGTGGTGGTGGTAGGGGGCAGAAGTTAAGGTCGAATGTTGAAAAATGAGGATGGACAAATGGGGACCAGTTCATGAAATGTCTCAAGAAGCTTGCTGAAGAGTCTAGATGTTGATTTGAGGTTATTGGGAAGCCACTAAAGGTTGAGAAAAAGTGCTCGGAGAGCAAGAATAAAGTGGCAGAGTTGCAAGGCTAAAGAAAGAACAGTGTAAAGGATAATGAGTAGCCAACTTGGGGAAGGATGAAGTATAGAGAAACTACAGAAAATTAGGATAGCTGAGAGGAAAGAGTCAAGAATAAAGCCCAGATAAGAGAGGTTTCAGAAAATTAACAATAACAAGAAGCTGCTTTAAATGATTATTTATCAAATGCACTGGAGAAAACCTGGCAAATTGATGTTAAAGGAAAAAAAGAGAGAGGAAGGAAAAATAAAATACCAAAAGAGTACAGCTTCAATCCGTGCCTATAGAATATCAAAGTGATTTTACATCAAACTCCAAGGAGCCATGGTGGCATGGTGGTTAAAGTGCTTTACAGCCAACCAAAAGGTTTGCACCCACCAGCCTCTCCACAGAGAAAGATGTGGTTAGTCTGCTTCCAGAAGATTATTGCCTTAGGAGCCCTAGGGGGCAGTTCTACTCCATCCTATAGGGTCACCATGAGTCACCTCAACCAGAAGGCAGTGGGTTTAGGTTTGGGTACATCAAACCCAAAGTCTGCTTTGAGTATTTGGCTACAACGAGAAAAAAGTCACGGTGCTCTGAATGAATGAGCAAACACAAAGAGACGGGAGACCATGGCCAGGGAGTGACAGATAGATGGAGAAGAAATACGCCTTCGATTCCATTCTCACTTGCTAGCATTTCACCAAGGTGAGCACAAACATAGGATTAGAAGGTAATACAATTTTTGTGTGATATGATACTTGACAAAACCAACTATGTCATCTGGTACACAACTGAAGAAACACGGCTCTGATCTGAGAAATCCACTTTAAAAGGTGCCAGTGTCCACTATTAAATAGCTATGACTTATTTCTTGACTTTCAGCTTTCCACTTAATACATAAATACATATACAAGGGGCTTCAAAATGTTCATGGGAAAAGCCCATTCGCTTTTAATTCCATTTTTCCACAAACTTTTTGAAGCCCCCTCATATTCTATGGAGTCCTGGTGTGGCACTGTAGGATAAGCATGGGCTGTTAGCCACAAAGTCTACGGTTCAAACCCCACTAGGCTGCTCCTTGAAAACCCTATACAGGGTTGCTATGAGTCACAACTAAATTAAAAGCACTTAAAAATAATAATAACAATATATTCTATAGACTTTTTCACAACTGCAGCAACTCATGATGCCACTGAATTGGTTAATGCATAAAGGAACTGTATTCTGGATATACTGCAAGTTATACAAACCATACTAAATGGTCTGTATTGAATAGAACACAATTTAGCAATCAAAGTAACTCATTTCTCCTATATTGCTACTTCCCCTGCCATTTCCAAATTGGGGTGGGGGGTGGCGGCAGGGGGAGGAAGGAAGGAAGAACTGGCTCAGTATTTCTGATAGTAATTCTGTTGTTGTACGGTGCTCTCTAATTGGTTTCAACTCACAGTGACCCAATGTACAGCAGAATAAAACACTGGCCATCCTGTGCCATCCTCAAAATTGTTATGTTTCAGTCCACTGTTATATACTGTGTCAATCCATTTCACTGAAGATCTTTCTCGTTTATTCATTTTTTACCTCTTTTACCTCTACTTTACCAAGCATGATGCTCTTTTGCAAACACTGGTCTCTCCTAATAACATGTCCGAAGTATATGAGAGGAAGTCTTGCCATTCTCCCTTATAAGGAACATTCTGGCTACACTTCTGCAGGACAGATTTGTTCATTCTTTGGCAGTCCATAGTTTTGCCAATATTTTTTGCCAACACCATACTTCATGTCCACCAATTCTTCTCTGGTCTTCCTTATTCACTGTCCAGCATTCACATGCATATGAGGCAACTGAAAATGGTGTGGTGCTGTGGGTTAATGCACCAGACTGCAAATCTGTTTGAACTACAAGGTCGGCAGTTCAAGCACACCAGCTGCTCCTCGGAAACCCTATATAGGATCGCTATGGGTTGGAACCGACTCAACGGCACTTAACAACAACAACAACGTCAGATGCGCCTTAGTCCTCACAGTGACACTGGTGCTTTCAACACTTAAAAAGTCTTTTGCAGAACTGCCCAATGCACTATATGTTGTCTGAATCTTAACTGTTTCCATAAGTGTTGATTGTGAATCAAAGTAAAATGAAATCCTTAGAAAACTTCAATCTTTTCTCCTTTTATCATGGCGTTGTGCACTGGACCAGCTGTGAGGATTTTTCTTTTTTTTTAATTGAGGTCTAATTCATACCAAAGGCTATTGTCTTTGATCTTCATCAGTAAACATTTAATTTCTCTTCATTTTCAGCAAGCAAGGTTGTGTCATTTGTATACTGCAGGCTGTTAGTTAGTCTTCCTCCAATCCCGATGCCATTTTATTCTTCATATAGTCCGGCTTCTCAGATTATTTGCTCAGCATACAGACTGAATAAGTATGGTGAAAGGATATAACCTTGATACATACCTTCCCTGATCTTAAACCATTCACTATCCCCTTGTTCTGTTTGAATGACTGCCTCTTGGGTCTTTGTACACGGTTCCACATGAACACAATTAATTGTTCTAGAATTCCCATTCTTACAATAGTATCCATAGTTTGTTATGATTCACAAAGTCAAATGTCTTTGCATAGTCAATAAAATGCAAAAAAAAAAAAAAAAACTATTCTCTGCTTTCAGCCAAGATCCATCTGATGTCAGCAATGATACCTCCGTCGTTCCATGTCATCTTCTGAATCTGGCTTGAATTTGTAGCCACAAGCATTTTTTAATTATCTTCAGCAAAATTTAACTACATGTGACATCATTAATGATATTGTTCAATAATTTTCACATTTTGTTGGGTCACCTTTCTATGAAACAGGCACAAATATGGATCTCTTTCAGTCATTTGGCCAGATAGGTGCCTTCCAAATTGCTTGATATAGACAAGCATGTACTTCCAGCGCTGCATCAGTGTGTTGAAATATTTCAACTGATATTCCATCAATTCCTGGAACCTTGTTTTTTGCCAGGGCCTTCAGTGTAACCTGGACTTCTTCCTTTGATAGCACCAGTTTTTTGTAATTTTTATCCCTCTAAATCTTCAGACAAATGGGAAAGTACTACAGTTTACTTCCCACTGTACAGCCTATAGCAAGCCGTAACACGATAACACGCAAGAGGGCTACAAAACATTTGTGGAGAAAATGGAATTAAAAGGTAATGGAATTTTTCCATGAAGTTTTTGGAGACACCTCATACACAGATTATGCTCAACTGGTATCTATTAAATGAGTGCTATTTACTGCTACCAATTCAATAAATACTGTTCTTAACAAGATTTTATATAGAAATTTAAAACTATAAGCAAATTACGTTAACTTACCTGCTACTGTGAGTTTGGCTGTTCTGCTAACAATTGTTCCAAGACTCTCAACAGTGGCCACACACTGGTAATAACCTTCATCAGGTTTATTGTGTTTGGAGTGCACCACACTGCTGATAAATAAAGACCCATCTGGAAGAAGCTGGCGTCGATCATCTGATGCTAAGTTTAAAAAAGTCCCATCTTTTTTCCATTCAATTTTTGGAGAAGGCTCAGAATATGCTGAACAGTTTAATATAACAGAAGAGCCACGAACTGAGAGGGTATCCACTGGCTCCAGGAGGAAATAAAAAGGAGTGAATGTTCGAATGCTGATTCCTAAAAACAAAACAAAACAAAAAAACAAAGTTAAACAAAATCGTCTAGTATCTCTGCAGGAAATACTATGCCCAAAAATTAAGTGGTCATACACTTAGGGCATGATATAAAAATGCCTAAAAATTTACTAATACTTAAAAATTTACATTTTACTAGGAAACCAAAAGGTGAACCACATAGAAAAAAGGACATCAGAAGAAAAGACACTGATAGAAGATATGAATCTCTAGTAAAAGTGTATTTCATGTTATACAGATTTTTAACTATTAAAATTACTATATTCAAATTATCTATGAAACAAAATTATATTGATTATTTGACAGCAATATCTTTTCTATGTTCACTGGCCATTTCATTTCCTTTCATAATAAATTCACTATACATGTAATTTATACATTTTTCTATTGGAATATTTATAGTGTGGCACTGTAGGATAAGAACTGGACTGCGAACAAGAGGTCGGCAGTTCAAACCCACCAGTTGACCCTCAGAAACCCCGTACAAGGTCGTTATAAGTCAGAATTGACTTGACGACACTCAGCAGCCACCACCACCTAAAAGTGACCTTTGAGCATGACCATCAAGCTTTACAAATATTCTTTTTTCCATTTTGACTATGATTTTCATAAGACAAAAATTAACTACATAAAATGAAATCCATTAAACTTTAAAAACTCTTCTTCATATCTCACGATTATTAAAAACTCCAGTCTTGTTTTCTTCTAATACTTTTGTACTGTCACTTTTTACATTTAACTCTCATCTAGAATTAATTTTCATATACAGAGCATTGTTTCAAACAGTTTAATTTTTCTGAATCCCTGGCAAGTTGTTTCAACATAGGAAGAACTATATTTAAAGGAAACATTTATTATAGGCCTTTATATTCTGAGCCAGGAAAATCCATTCAATTTAAAATTTACCTGTTTTCCTCAAAAAAAAAAGTAAATTACTGAATTTACAATCAAGATGAAACTAAAACTCTGGTTTTCAAATATTTACAAGCATCTCTTTATTTATAATGTATTTTATTTACCTTATGAACATAAGAATGGTACTAATTCAATATTCTAAGATGAATGACTGGCTTTAAATAAATACTAAACAAGCTGACAGAAATGAAGGAAATTCAATTATTTAAAAAGTTTTCCAACATGGTTATTGTTGTTAAGTGACATTTAGTTGGTTCCAATTCATAGTGACACTGTGTGGGGTCTCTGAAGAGTGGTTGTTGGGTTGAACCATCAACTTTGCAATTAGCAGTCCAGTGCTTATCTTACAACACCACACCAGGGCTCCCTTCCAACACGAGTCAGTAAAAAAAAGGAAAACCCTCAATGAGATGAATTGACACAGTGGCAACAACAATGGGCTCAAACGGAACCAACTGTGAGGCTGGCGCAGGACTCAGCAGGGTTTCAGTTTGTTGGACATAGAGTTAGAACTGAGTTAGAACTGAGCTGATGGCACCTAACAACAATAACAAGCAAATTCCAAGCAGTCTAATCACACTTTCCCAAATACCACAAAAAGGTGTTGGAAAAGATTTGCATGTATCCAATCTTGGTTGAAGAATATGAAATTTATTTTTCAAGTCTTAAAACTCCTGAAAATGAACTTAGGAATTTTTCAGAAGTAATCTGCAGTTAGTTAACTTGTCATTACTATGGTGGTTTTATTATTTCATTAATTTACTGGAGTTCTGGTGTGGCGCTGTGGTTAATATGCCAGACTGCAAAGCGGTTTGAACTGCAAGGTCGGCGGTTCAAGCTCACCAGCTGCTCCTCGGAAACCCTACACAGGGTCACTATGGGTCGGAACCAACTCGACGGCACTTCGCAACACAACAACATAAGGATATTAATAAATATAAACTTAAGAGCAGTACAAAATGATAGCTAAACTAAGACATATTGCTAAAACTTTCTGTATACCTACTAAATATTTACTATACCACTTGAATTTAAACTTAAGAGAAATGCGTTAAATTGGCAGTCAAAATATGCACATCAATAACAATTTATAATGTTTTTAATATGTTAATAAACTCAACCCATTGCTGCTCAATTCCAAATCATAACCCTGCAGGCAGAGTCAAACTGCCCCATCAAGTCTCTAAGGCTGGATATCTTTATAGGAGCATTCGGTCACATCTTTCTTCTGTAGAGTGGCTGCTGGATTCAAACTGCTGGCTCTTTGGTTAGCAGCCGAGTGTTTAATCACTGCACCACTAGGACTCCTCTGTGTATGAAGGGGCTCCAAAAGTTTGTGGAAAATGAAACTAAAAGATAATGAAATTTTTCCAGGAATTTTTGACGTTCCCTCATAGGTTAATAGGCAAATAAATCTTAAAAGTAGAACAAAGTTTTCCTCATGTGAAAAACTATATAAAAAAAATAGCTACACCAAATTTAAATGTCCTTGTTTCTGCTTTTATTTCCTTTTAAAAGTTTATAACTATATCAACCAAGTTGAATAAGAGAATGTAAGTTCTCAAAAATATTAAGAATTATACACATACAATACTTTTTACAAATGCCTTTGAAAATCAAAGTACTTCATAAATTTAATACAAAAAAAATTCAGTATGTTACTTGGAATTTAGTGTTACTTAAGTATTTACATGTATCAACTTTATATTTATTTCTTTAGTTAAGAATGAAGTGACCTAAGATTTTCTCGCTTCACTTAAACCCCTCAAGGCTTGTTACTACCTTTCATATAAAAATCTAAATAAACTCCTTCACTGGACTTCAACCTTACCCAGTGATTTGGGTCCAGCTTATTCTCCAAACTCTCCTTTGTAGCGTGTATCACACCCTCTAAGGTGTGCTGAGGACTCCTTTCAGTCCAGTCATAGCTTTTGCCTTCTTCACATGAGCTATTCCCACCAGTTGGAATGGACTCAACAACACTTAACAACAATACACTATCTTTTCCTATGGATACAATTATCATCCCCATTTTAGAGGGGAAGCATGGGCACCTCTGGGGTGGCAGAAAGTCTCATCTTTCTTCTATGGAGCAGCTGCTAGGCTCAAACCTCAAAACTTGTGGTATGCAGTCCAGTGCTTATCCCACAGAGCCACTATACATAGAAATGTCAAATAACTAGTCCAAGGTCACAGAAGTAGTAACGAATCTAGTTTGTGATCAATTACTGTGATCTGACCACTACACTATAATGCTACTCATATGCATGTGGACGGCCAGAAGGACAAACCCATCTGTGTCAGAAGAAGTACAGCCGGAATGCTCCTCCTTATAAGGACGGTGGTGAGACTCTGCAAGGGTGAGAAGGACTAACACAGTGGCAGCAACAAAAGGCTCAAACACAGGATTGATGGTGACACATATATAAAAACATATTTTAGACCTATGAAAAAAAATGTAAATAATAAAAATTTTAGAAGGAACTTTAAGAAAACAGAGATAAACCTGAGGTGGTAGTGGTTGTTGTTAAGTGCCTTCAAATTGGTTCCAACTCACAGTGACTCATAGTATAAGGCTTCTGAAGAGGAGTTGGTTAGCTTGAACCACCGACCTTGTGGTTCAAATGGACCTTGAAGATCAGTGCATTAACCCACAGTACCATACCAGTACTCCATAGATAACCTTTTAAATCAAAATAGAAAACCCCAAAGCTAGAAAAGAGACGGTTGACATGTTCACTTCATTGCATTCAAAAAAAAGTTTTACATGGTAAAATATCATAATTAAACAAACGACAAACAATGGAGTGGAGGGAAATATTTACATCTTAGGATCAGCACTAAACTGTGAAGCAAAAGGTCAGCAGTTCAAACCCACCAGCTGCTCCTCAGAAACCCTATACAGGATGGCTGTAAGTTAGAACCAACTCAACAACTTAACAACATAAGTATCAGGTAAGGAATGTTAATGGTTAAATCATTTAAGAGAAAAATGAACAAAATATATATAAACTAGATGAGTAATCGTTACCATGACTAATTGCGACTCTCACAACTGTAAAGGTAGAAGTTTTGTAACAAAAGGGGGGGAGTAGTCAATCTTATAGTCCAAGAACAGAGGACCCCCTAGGACCATCAAAAGATGCACAAGCGGAATGTGGGACCATAGCTAGAGAGGCAGCGACACCAGAGATGGAGGCAGAGATGAGGACATGGAGAGAGAAAGCAGCTGAGAACTCTAGACTCATGGAAAGATACTGGCAGCCAGTAGGCAGGCTTGCAGAATGTGCCCTTTGGTTGTATAAATGATTATATATTCCTGAGTGTTTCTGTGTACAACCCCCCGCCCCACAAACAAAAAACCAACAAAACAGAGGGAATGGAAGGCAATATTGTGGAAAGATGATGCACAGAGAAGATGTATATATATATGAACTAGAAATTTTCAGAAGGCTAAATCCTAATGGTAAGTAAGTAAAAAGATGTTTAATATCACTCACGGTGAGAAAATGCAAATTACCATAACAATGAAATGGGCATTTTCATCTTTAAGACTGCCACAGCATTTTGTTTCTGGTAACAGCTGACTTCAGTAGGGGATGCAAGGAAAAGCCTGTTCTCATATGCATTGCTGGGTCAAAATGTAATGGTTACAGATATCTGCAAAATCAATCTTGAGACTAGCCACTAAAATTGCAAATACATTTGTCCTTTAATCTAACAATCCCATTTGAGAAACTATGTCCCATAAATATAAAGGCATTACACATGAGACTATATGTGTGGTGCTGTAGGATAAGCACTGGACTGCTAACTTGCAAGGTTGGTGGTTCAAACCCACCAGACACTCCTCGGGAGCCTTATACAGAGTCGCTATGAGCCGGAACCAATCAATGACACTTAGCAACAACAACTCCTTGGAAACCCAATACAGGGTGGCTATGAGTCAGAAGTAATTGGACGGCACTTAACAACAACTATAAAGAGCTCTGGTAGCGTAGTGGTTACGAATCGGGCTGCGAACCTTAAGGTCAGTGGTTTGAAACTACCAGCTGCTCCGTGGGAGAA